ATATATATATATCAGAATGATACGAGTCGGACCGATTCTGATTCGGACATTGGAATGGAGGCATCAGCCCACAGAGCCGTTACTTTCTCGCACAGGTCATGGTACGTTTTTATATCCGCTTTTCGTAGCACACGTCAGTATGTCTTCGGCCACCGACATGTACTCTGTCCCACATCTTTTACTTCTCTCCTGTCTTTACACGTCACATCCCAATTTAATCCGACATGCAGTATGAATTTGCTAGAAGAATTCATTTGATTCAGAGAGTTAAAAGTCGATGTATATTATGAACTAATTAGAAGTCTCTAATGTGCCAAGTCACCATGTAACGGACAATCTCATGTCGCATGTTAGACATAATTATTTTCATTAATCTTCGTATAGATTGGTATTTAACCCATATGGATTAGTCTTTATTGTTAGACTTGATTATAATTATTTAGATACAACAAATGATTCCATCGGTTAACCAATGCGAGCACATTATAATAACTTTGATAAGACAATCTGAAGCTACCACGTGTCCTTTCACGGTGGTGATGATGATGATGATAGGGTCCAACATTAGAGTTTGAGCGGCCACAGCTTCCTTGGCCCGGCCCATCTGGCGAACCCTAAAACACGGAGGCTTAAACCCGCTGGTGAAGGGAAGGGGAGAAAGGATGGCGAGCACATCAAGTGTGGTTGCACCGAATCCGGAGGCGGAACCGGACGCCGAGGAGTCGAACCGGAACCCTAACCCTGTCGCTCCTCCCGCCGCCGGCGTCGTTTGCCTCCTGAGGTTCGCCGGTGACTCGGCTGCCGGAGCGTTCATGGGCTCCGTCTTTGGTTATGGTGGGCTTTACCCTTCTCTCCTCTCTTCGTCTTTCTCTCCGATTCTCCTGTACGTCGATGGCAGATGGGTGGTGATCGGCTAATGCGCCCATTTGCTCGTCGATTCTTTTACCTTCGATGCAGTTTTTGGGATTTATTCGATTCGCTACTTTAGAGGAAAGATTTTGTTCCACGAACTTCTCCTTTTGACTGTTTTTTGGATTTCTTTTGCAAGTGTTTCATCCGAGATTCTTATTGCAATCTTTTCTGTGGTATAGTAATCGGGGCCAGGCTGAATATATGTACATATATAGCATTCCGTCTTGTCAGGGTCTATATTTCATGGCATTTAGGGTTTCAAGAAGTAGATTGATGGCTGTGGAAGTCTTCTTCTACAAAAGCTTTCATGTGAATGTTTACTACATATTGTTCCCTATTGATTGATAAAATGGGGATTGTTTATTTAAAATGCTTGCTTATGCAAGGCGCGCAGTTTAGTTGATTAATAAGTCAGGTTCGGGTACTTGGATCTTGTCATTCCATTGAGCTCTGCTTATGGCGACATAGTTGGTTGTTGATTATGATTTGATGATTTTTATAATCGTCTCACAAAGTTGATGAAGAGTATACCAGGAGTGCAGCCCAACAAAATCTATCAAGAACAGGCTGCCTTTCCCAAAGTTCAGATTTTAACCTTTACCACTTCATTGATAACATAGGAAGCAATTTATTGGTTATATTGGCATAACTTTCATGCATTTATATTTTCAACTTCTTGGTCAAGCATTTCGTCAAGATAGATATAGAGGCCATTTCTTTAGTAGGTTGATGTTGAAGCTTCTTAAAAGGGTATACATTGTTGACTTGAACAAAACTGAGATTTAGATTGCTTGATAGTAACCATCAGACACCTTTTTGGTTGTCATTAGGAGACCTAGAAAATGAGAGAAGAGGTTGGTGTCTCTTCTTTGAGTTGCATAATTTTCGCTATAGTAGGTTTACTCCTGTCAAGCCTTCTGAAGGTCCATGGTATTTATATATACTTCAGACTTGAAATCAATATTTCTTTAGTAATTTTACGCCTGTTATATCTTTTGAAATCCATCTCGAATTATATCTACTGCAGCTTCTTCCCATCTATGTCGTGATTATTTATGCAACTTTTATCATTAGGTAGCTTCTTGACTGGTTTTCTTGAGAAGGCTTTGTAAGAAATTGTAGTGGCTTCTCAAATTCATTTTATTTTCCATGGTATATCTACTTTGGACATTTTCATGGCATCGCAAGAGATCACATGCAATGTTTGCTTTTCAGGAAAGGGTATGATGAATAAAAGAGGTTTCAAAGGTTCCTTTGCTGATGCTGGTTCTTCTGCCAAGGTGTTGTCTACAGCATTAATTATTTGGTTGTCATAATATTATCCTTTGATTTCTTATCTGCAGTTTTCTGTTGTGGTATCATCGTACTATACTTGGCTTGTTCTTGTTGTTTCTATATCCTTTATCATAATTTAGTTTCACCACTGGAAACATTTCTTGGCAGCGGGGTGATAATGTCTGACTTGTTTTCTTTACTAGACATTTGCAATCTTGTCTGGTGTTCACAGTTTGGTTAGCTGCTTCCTGAAGAGACTGCGAGGAAAAGATGATGGTATGATATCTTTACGTCTGACACTTGTTTCCTTTCGTAAATGAGCAGCTTAATTAGTAGTCTTTCAATTTTGCTTTTGCAGTCATCAATGCAGGTGTAGCTGGTTGTTGCACTGGTCTCGCTTTAAGTTTTCCAGGTACTTAATTCTAGATATATTTTTTTTTTCCTGTAGAGTGTATCTATTTCTAATGGTTCATCATCTTTTATGGAGTTTAGATCAAGAGAGCATTCTAGTCTTATAGAGTAATTTGCTTCCATGAATTGCTGCCTTATTTGCAAGTAAGATTCTGTCCTTCAATTTACCCATATGAACAATATATCCTTGTGAAGACTTGTCTTATTACTGTTCTGGGAAATATGTTATGTGGTTTTAGTTAATTGGCCAAAATCTCAGGAAGTTGGAGTTGAAACTTTCTGACTTTGGCCAATTGGGGAACTCAAAGTAATTAAAAAATTATATATAGTTGAACAGGTGGAAGTCCGAGTAGTCATGGGTTGCAGATTTGATACTGGCGTTTAGTTGTTTGCTCGTAGTTATTGTATCCTTGCAAACAAGCAATCAACCAAATTTGTGAGAACGGTATTCTATGTTGCTCGATTGGTGGTTGATGCATCGTGAAAAATAAAGACCAAATTTTGGTCTGTGTAATCGCTGAACTGAAGTGGTACAGCCATAGCTCTTACATGAATGAAGCTTGCAAATAAATTTGCCTCTGTTCACTACATTTTCTTTGTTTTTTACACTTTTTATTGTCTTCCAGGGGCACCCCATGCTTTGCTTCAGAGCTGCCTCACCTTTGGAGCCTTCTCATTCATCATGGAAGGACTAAACAAGCAACAGACCGCATTGGCAAAGTCGTTTTCTTCTGGCAACGAGGATGTGGACAGCCCAAAGAACGTCCTTCCTCCCTTCACTCTTCCTCTTCCACCCAGTGTCATGGAGGGCTTTTCTTCCTTCCCTCTATGCTTATCCAAGCCCAAGAGCTCCATCACCTGGTGATTGCTGCAAAATACTAGAAAGCTCAATTTGCTTTGTTTTCTTTTCCGCTACTTTATGGATCAAAATCTTGCCTATGTAAAATCCAGTTAGGGATAGAATTGTTGTAACCAATTGCATTCTGCCCAGCGATTCAACCGAGCTATGCCATGAATCGTATGAACTCAAGATCTTTGCTGTACATGTCATCAGTAATCCCAGATTTTTCTTTGCGTTTCTGGGTGACAGTATTTGCTGGGTTGAGCTCCGAGTCTATGTTGTTATACGGTGGTAATCTACTGATTCAGCAATGGAAAGTGTAATGATATAGTTTCGTTACAAGTGTTTGTAATTAGACAGAAATTAGTGAATTCTCTGAAGTTCGACCCCTCAGAACCAAAACATACTACTCCTAAAGCAATTGCTAGCAAGATGATAGATACGGCAAAATACAAAATCAAGTGATTAATGTACATGACGCACACACAGCTACATAATTGAATCCTGTTAATCCAATGTATATCCCTCAGAATGCCTGATATCCACAAATCATGAACTCACTGGTTCCTCGACCTCAGCCTTCGCTGAGGGAGCACCAATCATTCACAACTCTACTGCAAGTTCAGATTACTAAACTCGTCGTCACAGGGACATCCGAAACAGGATTCTTTATATGTCTTTACAGCTACAAATTAACAGAAAATAAACGGAGAAAGTTTACCTAAAGATAACAAGAAATTCTAAGTAAAATCACATAAATAATGGCTAAGGCATTATTTTAAGGACAAGTGGTAACCTCCACGCTAGTCCTTAACAACAGACGTAAGGAGTGCACAAGCAACAGTGGTCTGCCATTTTATCGAACACAAAGACGACACGGTGTGGGTTGTTTTAGATGCTAGAAAACCATACCTCGAGTAAAAGCTTGATGCTGCCAAGGGAGCACTCCCACTTGCCGCGACTTGGCTACACTTACCTAAGCACCCACTCGAGTGCTTCGGTGGTGACCAAGACGAAATAGCTCCCTCGCTTCATGTTGGAGCAAGAGAGGACGCGCGCAGTGCGTACCCAGCAACGTAGAAAGACGGGGAGGAACATGGGCGGGTGAGCGAGCAACGAAGGGTCTGGGGGAGGAGCAGGAGAGAGCGGCTATGGAGTCCAGGAATGAGGGTTTGTCATCGACCGTTCTGGTTTAGGGTTTGGGTTTTTGTGTCCATCGACCGAGAGAGTTGGGCCGGGCCGGACCGGTATGGTTCAAGTTATGATGCTCCCATCGCTCGTCTTCTATTTATTTAGAACAATCTACTTTCATTTGTTTCTTAATTATTGGAGTAGGAGTTGATCACCTCTTCTATAATTTTCCCGAGAATATTATATGCTTCACGAATCATGAGAAGCTCTTTTAATAGTTCATGAACATATGATTTGTATTTATTCTCACTTATACTTCCCGTTTGATAGTTAAAATATGACACTATAGATAGATATATGACCATCGTGTGATTATAGGTGGCCAACAGGTCGATCATTGATAGACCACATTCGTCACCATGCTTATCCGGTACATAATGATCGAATCTTGAGATGCATGATCATCACGAGCGATAGAGAATTAAACAATTACTCATTCGATAGTAAAATCAATTAGTTGGAACAATGCGCACCAACACAGTTCGATCACTTCATGTCATGTATCTTTATGAGAAGGGGATGATCTACTGTGAGCAATAATAAGATCCACATGTCTTCAGCTTCTGATTTAGATAAGGTAGGTGTCCATAACATGGTTTATTCCGAATAGTACGACCATAGCTTTATCTTAAACTCAAATGATATGAATCGAGGATAACCACGTCGGGTTATTATAATCTTTCTCTTCCGTCCCATGTTCGTGTTAGGTTAGACATGATGGATCATCAATCCCCTCTCACGCCATATGGGATAACGACACATATCCCACCCGATCCGATAAATAAAGTAAAAAACTTTATTCGGTATGTCAGTTTTTTCTATGACATACTTTTTGTGCATGAAAAATATCAACCGATGCCAAATTAAAATATAATATGTCACCTTAAATCGCATGTCTCAAAATAAGTAAAATTCAATAATTAAGTGAATTTATTTATAAAAAAAGAAAAATATAATATGAATATTGAAAACAGATCCACATCTCATCAAGCCATCATCATACGGTCAAAAGTAAATTGGAATCATAATTTAATTTAAATTCAGATAACGATGAATAATTTGGTGTGCGTGGGATTCGATGCGCCAACCTTATCCAACAAGATATCAAATTTCACCCACTACACGATAAATCCAAACCCAAAAGGTGATACGTTAAAAGAGCGGCACGTGTCCCGCGATAGCCGCCTGCGGGCCCCGCAGTTCACCCACGCGTCACTCCTTCGGTGGTCGGGCTGGCTCGTCCGTGCCTGCTCTCCAACGACGCGTGGCGAGGGGAGGCGTGCTCCGCGACGCCATCCGCGCCGTGCTCCCCAGGCCGCCGAGCTGCCACCCCGCCCCACGACAGGAGAAGCGCCCACCCCCGACGCCAAACCGTCCACGTGTTAGCAGCGCCTTCACGCTTCCTCGTGGGCCCCGGTTTGACGGGGTGGTTGGCGCGTGAGGCGTTCGTCCCTCCCGTTCGCTTTACGCGGACAATAAATATCTCTTCGATTTTACCGGAACACCCCTACGGCGACACACAGGTGGACGGTGACGATAGGCGGCGGGAACCCGCTTTCCTACCCCACGATGCTCTCCGTGGGCCCCGCACGGTAGCCTTGTTTCTCCAGTAACGCGTAGGTGGTATGCCGCCGGGCAACGTCGCGTAACAGGAACTGCCGCTCGCCCCTGTTTTCCAAATACTTCTTGATAGTTTTACTACATGAGGTAACGTCTGATAAAAGAGCACTTTACCTTATTCGGTATAAAGAGCAGCGTGGCATCCATCTGAAAAATGACCAATATACCCCACCATCAAACGTCTAATCACATCTTTCCGGTTCTAAAGCAGATAATTACGGGATAATTTTCGAGGATAGGGCCGTCATTGTGCGAATGCCGGTGGGCAGTGTGGTAATATCAGGATTTGGATAAGCAAGTAAAGGTGGAAAGGAAAAGTTCAAAGAAGTGAGCGAAGACTTAAAGAGACGTTGCTTCGCCAGATCGTTTCCGCAAATTTGCTCCCCGGAGCTTTGATTCGTCCTGCGGGATGGACCTGCGCAGAAGTCGATGGACGGAGGAGGTCGCTTGTTAGGGTTTTATGTTTCGCTGGGGGGAAACGCGAAAAGGAAAAGGCTTCTAGGTCTTGCTTGATCTGATTGGTGCTCTCGACGTCGGAGCTGCTGCAGTTCAATTGGAGCACTCGTCGATCGCGGTTTCAAGAGGTCAGTTTCTGTACGTCGTGCGTTTCTGGTGACAGAATTGCTAGATTAAGTTTCCGAAATTGGCCATGGCGTTGCTATTTTTTTCGTTTTCTTGGATTTTTGTTGGCTTATCGATTCTTACTGGCTTCGGGTTCTGGTTACTGCTGCTCTTTGATGTCGTTTTCTTTGTCCCTCGTGGATTTTCGATGGACAGAGAAATTTGTTGTCGAGAGAGATATATATATGTATTTGGCACTAAATTTGGGATTTCTTCGAACGTGCCTCTTAATTTTTGTTTTTGGCTCGAGTTATTTTGTCTCTTATTCCAAACCTTATTGTGTCATGAAGGAATCCGACAGAAAGCGCAGTAGTCGGTATTTTTTAAAATGTAAACTACTGAAGAATTAGGGTTTTAGACTGTCAAACCGATTGTTAGTCTGGCTTACGGTGTGGCCTTCTCTTTCAGTGAGATCCTTGGAAATTTTTGGCAATTATTCTCTTTTTTGGTATCAGAAAACAAGAATTTTTTGGGTTCGTATGCAATCCATTTTGTAGTTTTACCATCTATTTTTCTGTTTCGATCTCTGTTCTGTTATTCTTCCTTTTCTTATTCTGTTGCTATATGTGGTACACCGTTTATCCAACTAATCTGTAAGAATAGTTGTCTTTGAAGGATTGCACAGAAGAATGGAATCACGTCCGGGTGGTACAAATATACTAGATCCAAGCGTACAAACTGCGATACCCGCTACAATCAGTGCTCAGCCCTGGTGGTGCGGTCCTGTTTTTGCTGCAGTAAATACTTCTAAGTCACCAGTAGTTGGAACCGAGGCCGGCCAATTACGACTGAGTCATGGCCTGGATGATACAGGCGATGTCAATAAAGAGGCAGATAGTATGGGCACAAAGCCAGGTTCTTTAATTAATTTATTTATTTATATACACTTTATCTTTGTTTTGTTATTATATGTAAATTCCATGTATGCTCTGTTAATTCCTTTTTAGATAAGTATTTTGGCCACTAGGTTGATCTTAGTTTCAGCTTATCTATGGAAATTGTTTACGTTTACTTGATGCCGGCCATTTGTTGTAGGATGTATTTAATGCAAATCTCAAAGAAAGTAATTTTTGATGCTAGGCTTTAATGCAAATCTCAAAGAAAGTAATTAAGAGTTTCTTGTAGTTACCTATAGCTTTGGTTGCATTATGTTTGAAGTTGCACCGTAGGGAATGCTTTTGTCTCTTGCAGAAACCACTAATCTAGGTGTTTGTTTTGGAGATTGTACATTGTTGAACTTGTACTAGAACTTAAGCAGAAGATGTTTCTTTAAATTAAGATTTCGTTTCATTATCAGATGGGGGCCTAGGTGAGAAAAACAAGAGTCTTCAGCCTACTTCAAATGCCATTACTTCGATGATGCCTGAGATTCTTTCACCACATACCCAGCTGGAACTTGGTCAATCAATTGTGGGCAATCTCTCGCTCATTCTATTCTTTACTTCTTTTCTTGTTTTTGAATTGTAATATCTACTATGAACCAAAGGATTTTTCTCTTCAGTCTCATGTAACATTAAGCTATAGTTGATGACTTAGGGTAGCTCTTATATTTTTGTTTGAAAAATGTCATGCTGATATTTAGATCATCTAATGTAATTTTACAGACTTGTGCTACGTATCCATTTGCTGATCCTTATTTTGCTGGCCTAGTGGCTCCTTATGGAACTCAAGCACTAGTAAGTATGTCAGATATTTGAGTTCTACTGCTGATTTCCAGTTATCACTTGTTGATATTGGAGCTTTCTTGGATTCAGTCTTACTATCATTCCAGAATAAGTTGATGTTGGCTTTGTGCTTTTGTCAATCT